TAACTATAATCATAAAATGATGATATGAAATTTGAAATAGCATTTCAAGATTTCTGGCATCAAACACTCATACAATACACACATACAGTTCAGCAGATGGTAACATTTCTAGTGAACAGGCTGAACGTCCTGAATCATGTGGGGTCTGGGGGTTATTTTCAATTCCCATCTCCCCTGTCTCCCTCCCCTGGGTTTCCCACCTCTCTCTTCACCTGCTCCATACTGTGGGGAACTGCCTGCTGTGGGTGGCAATATCTGGAGATCCTTTGCCCTCTGGCTTATAGTTGGGTTTGGCCAAGTGGGGCTGGAGGTGGAAGAAGAGTGTGAGGGTGTTATGTCCCAGCATCTCCCTGCCTCGGCCGGGTCTGGCAGGGGCCATGTCCCCCATGACTACAGCTCTGGGGAGAGGCCCCTTCCAGGTTCCAGCCTTGAAGAGCTGGCCTGACTTCCTCTCCTCTCTTACTGGGCCTGAGGGTTTCCACTGTTGACTCTGGACATCAGGTGTGGGAAGTCAGTGGTAGAAACAAGTAACAAAACAGCAATTGCAGGAAGTCCCTTTAGGCCAAAGGCCAAAAAAAAAATTGGTTTTTTTTTCAGTTTACTTAATGTGTGTAGCAGAAGTTTCACTGTATTTATTCATATTGGTATCTCACAACACTTGACTAGAAAAAAGGGTAGCAGGTGAAATCACCACGCCTGTCACTGGGGGCTACTGATTTAGCTGACACTACTCCACACAGCTAGCAAGCCCAGAGCCACAGAACCTCAGGTACCTACAGTCAGAGGAAATTTTCGGGGGAGGACGCAGTGTCAGGGGCTTCTCTGCTGACTTCTTTGGGCTGCACCTGGCCTGGCTGCCGTGGAAGCAGTGCCGTGTGGGGAGGAGGGGTAGGAGGCCTTCCTTCAGCAACATGCAGCACCCGGGCACCGCGCAGCACCTACCACAAGAGCGCAAAGCTCCCAGGGGACACCTGTGTTCATCTCTGACATCGCAAAGGCTTCAGAACCACAGACGACAGGGAAAAGTGGGAACTGTGAGCAACTAACTGCACGTGGAAGGAGGAAGCACTCTGTTTATTTCAACAGCCCTGTTCCAGGAAGAGACTGGTGTGATGTGTGGAATAAGATTCCTTTACACACCCAGCAGTCAATGAAATGCTGTTTTGAACACCTTGATGTGCTGGGCACTGTGCTAGTGCAAAACAGGACCAAACCGTCCCCACTCCCAGGTGTTCTAGGAGGGCAGACAAAACAAACGCCAGTGTGGGACTCAGGAGATGGTCACAGAGGGTTAATCAGAAGAACAAAACGTGGCAAGAATGACCAGTGCAAAGACGCCTTCTCCAGCCACTTCCAGAAGCCTTCCAGTCCTAGCAACCTTTAACCCTTTGAGGCTAACCCGTCTCTGCCATGTTTATTTCTGGTCTTGGTTGTGTTTATTTCTGTTTCCAGAGTAAGAGGAGGTGGGCAGAGGGCGGGTGTCCCTGGGTAAACTTCCCTCCTCCTCCCAGGCTGAGTCCTGCCCTGGCCTGTCCACAGCTTTGAGAAGCCAGGTCTTTCAGGCTCTGTTTTGTCACAAGAGTGGTACAGGTTACGATGAGCATCACCCTCCTCACACCAGCGGCAGCCATGCCACCACTGGCCCTCCTAAGGCAGCTAGTGGCATCGAGTGGTGGGCAGTTGGATTTGAGAGCCCAGGATTTTGGCTTCTGTAGCATCAGGGGCCTCCTGGCTGCAGGGGCGGTGGTAACAGGTCCAGCACTCCAGGCAGGTCCAGCACTCACTTGCTGGCCGCATTCTGTGCAAGACCCAGGGCCACTTCATCCAGGCCTGAGCTGGAGAGCTTAATGAACACTCAGGGTCACAGGAAATGCAACCTCCCCATGTCTGCTTTGTTAGACTATTTGCCATGAGACACAAAGATGGCTCATAGTAGGAAATTAAGCAAAACGAATAACTCCAGCTTCATGGTTTTGTTAAGGCTTCCCAAAGCCCAACGAGGCTTATTGTTCAAAGCTAAGGAAGCCTCTGTCCTGGCGGCTCAAGTTCACTCAGCAGTGATTGTGGCTGTGCAAAGACCACCAGCTCCTCTCTCAGGAAACTTGAGGCACTGAGAAGAGAACGGCCTGGCTGCACGTGGAGGGTCATGGTGCAACCTGGCGACTGTTCCCTGGGAGGTGTGTGGCTTGTTCTGTAGTCCAGGCTTCTCTGCAGCTGAGGACTCTGGGACTGAAGCGCTCAGGTTGGAGCCTTAAATCAGAGGTGTCATCTACCATGTGGTGCCGACAGGAAATCTCACCTGCGTGAGCTCTGCTCAGGTTGCCAGTTGGTTCAGAAAGCCACTGCACCTCTGTTTCCAGAGTCCACAGCTAATACTTGCAACCTAAGCGGGAGGCCAGTGCATGGCAGCCAGCCTGCCAGGGGCAGAGGGGACGGCGGTTAACTGGCACCTTGACAGCTCTTATAACATCCCTCATTAATGCAGAAAAGCACAGTGAGGTGTCTACACTGCCTCTTCAGCCCCTCTGTGCAGACATGTGCGGAGGGCGACACCGCCCAGGGAGTGCAGGGGCTGGCGACTGGCCAGCACTGCTACCCTGGGAAGCAAGGAGGCCACTCCTGCAGGTGTCCAGTGGCGTGCAGGCCGAGATCACTGTGTCCGCTGTGCTTCCCGTGAGGCCCTGGCCGGTGGCTTTATGTTGTGGCTGTGCTGAAACATGCTGGGTGCCGAGGTCCCATCATCCCACATGGCACTATCCCCACTGTCCTCTGGCTACCCCTCTCTTCCTAAGGTTCCCGGCTTTGCTCCCCACTCTCCCTTCCCCAGGGTAGAGTGAAATGTTTTCTCTTGCGATTGAATACGATTCTCAGGTTTCTACACGTATCTCAGGCTTTCTCTCTCTCTCTCTCTCTCTCTCTCTCTCTCTCTCTCTCTCTCTCTCTCTCTCACACACACACACACACACACACACACACACACACGTGACTCAGCATTTAAGATATTGCATAGTAACTGTGGCTGTGCTTGTGAGCTCCTCCCACTCCCGCTCCTTGAGGGAAGAGGCCCAGCTCACTTCATCTCCGTATCCTTCCAGCACATAGTGCGTGCTTCATTCAGATTGTTAAGTTAGCGGAGGTATTCCTCACAACACCTAGCACAGTCCTATACGGTAGGATATCTGATGAAAATATTTCTTTATTTACTGATGATTCCAATTCATGACATCCAAGACACTATCTTAAATTTCATGCTCACAGACTAAGAGGGAATCGAGGGCTACATTATATATAATCTGTGCATGTGCCTATTCCTGCGTTAGGGGTTCCAGCCCTGTCTACTGTTGGAAGGGAGCCTGCCTGAATGTGACCTCCGTCAGAGCTGGCATTCCACTCTCAGGCCCATAAGTCCCCTGCATGGTGACCTGCCCACCCCACCTGTCCCCGCCCATGTTTCTGCCTCAGGCTTTACCATCCACTTGCTGATAAGTTACAGGAAAAGGAGCAACAAAGGAAAAGTTTTGTTTCATCTTGTGCCAAACACTTGATATGGACACTCTCTGCCTCAGCTCAAGAACTTCAGCGCTAAGAGTGTGTTTGGAGAGAGGGGCACATGCGGTAGCTGGAAGCCCAGCAGGGCTGGGTTATACTGATGCTATACCGTCATGCAAACACAGCTTCGAAACTGCGTCTTTAGGCTAAATGGTCATTGTGCGAACATCGTAGAGTGCACTTACACAGACCTGGATGGTGTGGCCTGTGCTCCTAGGTGACAAACCTGTACAGCATGTTACTGGACTGAACACTGTAGGCTGTTGTAACACGATGGTAAGTATTTGTGTATCTAAATATAGAAAAGGTATGGCAAAAATACAGTGTAAATGATAAAAAATGGTACACCTGTATAAGGGCACTCATCCTAAATGGAGCTTGCAGGACTGGACATTGCTCTGGGTGAGTCAATGAGTGCATGGTGAGTGGATGTGAAGGTCGAGGACACTACTGTGCACTACTGTAGACTGTATAAGCACTGTACACTTAGGATGGACTAAATGTATAAAAAAAGTAACTGCACTATGATGTTATGATGGCTATGACATCACTAGGTGACGGGAGTATTTCAGCTCCATTATAATCTTATGGGACCATCATCATCTCAAAATGTCATTACGTGGCACAGGACTGTATGACTAAACTGTAGGGACTTGGGCGTAAGCCCAGCAGGTCCAGGTATCACCCCAACAGCTCCTTCAACAGCAGCAGCATAGATAAGCCATGTCTGAGGAGAACCACATCAGCTGTCTCCAGAACACATTTCCCTCTGAATAGCAGAAGCTCCCCCAGTCAGAGCAGGGCTAATTTTCAAATCAGGCGTGGTGGTGATGCAGCAGGAATGTGCATGCACCCTAGATGTCCCATGCAGCTTTCTGGAGACTTCTAATGCCTACATCTGAGGCATCTTGCCCACAAAACCACGCAGAATTAACAGAAACCTACCTTCTTATGCATATTGGTAAATGGTAATAGAATAACAGAAGAGCAGACAGGTGAAGAGATACTGGATTTTCAAGTCAGAAGGATGCTGAGAGATCATCTGACCCAACAGCCTTATTTAATAGCTCATGTCCACAGTGCTAAAGCCATCGGTCCAAGGTCGAAGAATTTCAAACCCATGAATACCTCCAAGAAGCCTCGACTGGGAAATCATGATTTTAATAAAATTATCCACATTCCTGACCTATGTCTACTTGTCTTAGTGTCTCCTCAGTAGGCAGTTACTCTATCTTACATCAATTTGCAATTACTGTATCGTCGGGGTCTCTAGTAATTTATCTTGTGTTCTGGGTGAAGACTAGCAGAGTCTTCCTTCCAAGGCTCTGTCATTCACTCCCAACGTCCAGCCCACTACTCTAAACACGATGGCCTTTGAGAAACGCTCCTGATTTCTGACTAAGGAAGACCAGAACTTCTGAACATAAGAAAGTCAAAATCATAGACCTTACCATTCAAGATGGTTTTCTACAAACGCCGACATGGGGCTGATCTGCACCGTGTACGTGTCATTTGCAGAGTACTCGAAGAGTCCGTAGTAGGGGTTGAAGAGCTCCTGAGACAAAAGGAAGAAGAACTCTCGCGAAGGACCACTGTAGTCCAGGCTGCAAAGGAAGCAGAGGTCCAGGGAGCTCATTGTGTGCCTGGAGGGGGGCCTCTTCTTATCCAGGTCCCGCTGTGTTTTTTCAGAGCTGGGTGCTGGGCAAAGCAGAGGGCAGCCTCTGCTCTCTAGAGTGGATCCCAATGGAAGTATCAATGTGCTGTAGAAAATGAGCGTGCGGTAATTGGCTTAGGGGTGTTTCTTCACCAGATGTCCATGAGTGAACTCTTATGGCAGTTTTCTTTAACCTTGTTTTCAACCATCTAACACCTATGAGATGTAACACCCAGCTGGCCTATTAATGAGGCCCTTGTTGTGTGAGGCATAAAAGAATGTCCTGCAATAGTGCACCGGTGCATGCATGTGCAATGTGGAGTGCATGTGTGCACACATGTGGGTGAATTGGAAAAGCTTCCAAGTTCATCCTGATATGCCCTCCTAGTTGGGCTTGCCTTCCATGGTTGAGTTGGTTTTCCATGAAATCACTGAAATTATATGAAAAGCTTGGCATTTAGTTGTATGTATGCACTTTAGGAGGGAGAGTTCTTTGGTTACATACTCAGAATAGAACACCACCTCAAGAGTAAAGATCCAATGGCTTAGGATTGCATTTTTGGCTTATATTTTGACCATGTGGTCTCAGACATACCAACAATCTTATGTTTCTCAAGGACATGAAACCTAAAGCTAGGCAATACCTGGAGAGAATGACCTCCCGGGAGGATGTGATCAGAATCACCCCGGGGCAATGGCTCACAGCCACCCTGTTCCTTCTTGAGCCAAGTCCCCCAACCCTGGGGCTCTGGTCCACCCACGCTACTGGGTCTGAGTGACCCTCCTGGGTCCTCACCCCTCCTCTCCGGCAAAAGTGACGTAGAGCTTGCTCCGCTGCAGCTCCTTCCGGGAATAGGCCATCACCTGATTGAAGGTTCCCTCCAGCAAGTGGTCACGACGAATAATGAGCCTGCGGAGGAGAAGGGGGTGAGTAGAAGCACAGGGTCAGGGCCCCGGACAGAGCTCTAGCAGAGCTGCGAGCATCCAGGTCACCCAGCGAGAGAGGAAGGGGCAAGACACAGGCCCCATTGGTCAGTGAGGGACTCATGTGGACACTCTTCCAAACACTGGGAGCACGGGGGAGAACACACCCACTTGTCCCTGGATACGCTCCATCATATCGCACTACTCGTCAGCGTCTTTTTTAATCAATTCATAGATGTCTCTGAAGTTGGATTATTGAGCTTGGGCTGGGCTTATTCAAGACGAAAATAATAAACCCAGAAGGAAAACAAAACAAGACAAAACAACCTTTTACTTAGACTTCAATTACAATGTTACAAAGAGTCTATAAATTTGACTCATGAGTTAAATTTTCTCCAAAAAACAAGTAAAGGGAAGTGTAAGATTTTTTATTTAGTTCGCAGTTCCTTGTTTTCTGACAAGGCCCACCGCTGAGTTTCTCTGTGCCTCCGTGTGACACCCACTGTCCCTGCTCTTTCTCCCCCTCCCTTCCAACTTCCTAACCTCCCTCTCTTCCCTTCATACTGTCCCTGCTCCCACCCCGGGTATCCAACCCCCCACAAATTACAAAGGTCTGGGGGAGAAATGGACAGAAAAGTCTACCATCCAGAGCACTCACTTAATCTTTCCTGGACCCTGTCCAAATCCTTTGGCTTCCAGTTTTCTGTAGAAGTTGCGGAGCTTGGCCTCGAAGTCTCTCCGGTATGGCGAAGGGGCCCGTGCGCTGGCTCTCTGTAACCCTGCGGAGAGGAGCACGTGGGCCTGACATCGCCACTTGCTAGAAGGACTGTGCAGAGAGCCGGCCAGAGGCACATTCCTGCGTCCTCATGCGTTTCTCCTCCAAGAAGTTTCCCCTGACTTCCATCCCTCCCTCAGTTACTTTGATAATAAATAGAAAAAATACGCTAAAGAGAAAAATCAATTTTAAAGGGAGTCAATATTTATGTCTTCCACTCCAATTATTTCAAGCTGTATTTCTTTTACAAGTACCTTGATGAGCATTTTTCTTGGCCAAATTGTACTTAATTTAAAATAATTAGCATAAACTAAACTAGACTAAGATTTTTCTTATAAATTGTTATAAGAAGTGACTGAAACTATGAGGCAACTAGGACTTTAATATATGTGTTTGTCACCCTTCTATATTGATATCATGCTAAAATAAACATGCCTGTGCACTGGGGCCCAGGGCATTTAGGAGTTTTTGCTTATTTACTTTGCATCATAAGAGTAAATTTTGCAGTAATTATAATAATAATTCATTGACCCTATTATAGAAGACAGATTTTGTGTCACTTAGGGAGCTTTGTAAGTGCTTCACTGTCTTATATACCTCTTAATGAAAAGAGGAGTGGAAAGAGTAACATTTCAGCCAGGTTTTACAGGTGGCCAGAGCCATGGCTTGCCCTTCAGTGACTATTTATTACTTACTATATTCCAGGAACTAAGCTTACACTCTAGAGGAGAATGATACCGGTAAACTCACAGAAATGAGTACATAATTACAAGTTGAGATAATTGCTACTCATGAAGGAGAGGAATCCAGTTCCTTGAGATCACAGGACATGCTGGCCAAGTCCAGGAAGGCTTCCCCGGGGAAGATCTGATGAACAAGCAGGCATGAATTAGATTGAATGGGTCAGGAAAGGCTTCTTTTTAACTCAGGGAAGGGATGAGCTGGTTGAAGAGCCCCCAGGTGGAGGGTCAGCATGTGTAAGGGTCCTGTGGCAGAACAGAAGGCAGGGCTCCAGTTTGTCTGGAGCACAGGTTGCAAGGACCAAAGAGGTGCAGAAACAAGGCTTGAGAGGTGGGCAGGAGCCCCCAGACAGGACGAGGTATGCTCTGTTGAGCAATTTTGTTTCATGCTAAGAGGCACAAGAAGCCATTGCATGGGGGTCGGCAGGTGTGACGTGAGCTATGATACATCAGTTTTCCTGCAGCAGAGAGAAAGAACTGGAGAAGACAGGGGGTCCAGAGAGCCCAAAGTGGTGTCAATGGAGATGAGGGAAGCCAGCGGACTGGAGCTGTATTGGGAGGCAGTGAGTTAATTATAGATCATGAGGAAGAGGTGGCTTCAGATTTTGTAAGTGAAGGCACTGTGGTGACATTCACTGGGATGGGAACAGTGGAACAAGAGCAAACTTGAGGAGAAGGTTAAAGAGTTGCTGATGGCAGCACCTTGGACTGTGTCAGTGGAGAAAAACACGGTTTGAGGGAGAAGAGAGAAGACCTGGATTGAGCCTTGAGGATGGTAGAATGAGGACAAGGCTGCGAGAGGTGCAGAAGAGCGCATGACATGCCTGGTGTCACAGGAGCAGCTGGAGGTGGCGCAAAGGGGGCCATCAATAACGAAGTGGTGCTGGAGATTGGGAGGCCAAGAACTGCCCCACACGGGGTAGCAGAGGCCATGGCGACCTTCACGATGATACCTCCCCTCGCGTGCAGGTGTGAAGGAGGCTAAGATGTGGGAGGCTTTGGTAGACCTGTAGGTTGGGCGGCAGGGTGGGCGGCTGGGTGTTCGAGGGGAGTGGGAAGGTCTGAAGCAGTCGCGGAGAAGAGCAGAGACACGTGCAGGGGTTTCTTCTGGGTGTTCAGGGCTCTCATGATGTGAGAGACGACTGATTCGTGGTTAATAATATGCCGTGGCAGGTGAATGTGCGCACCTGACACACGTGTGGAGGAAGCAGTAGGAAGCTTGTCTGGGGAGAAGTCCTGCCAGAAGGCACAGACAAGATGGGGAGGGCCAGGGAGCTCAGGGCGCTGGCAAGGATGTTCCTGAGGTTATGAGCCACAGAATCTATGCTGGACAAGAGAGGGTGTTGGAAAGGAAGGAGAAAACTGCAGGAACTGGAGGTCTGATGAAGCCCAACAACGGGCATGGGGAGAGCAGCTGAGTAAGGACGTCGGAAAGGAAGCGGATGCCTGAGTGAGTGGTTTTAGGGACGACAACAAGGGCAGGAGCGTGGCCTGGGAGTACGTGGCTGAGGAGGGGGAGGAGAGGCCACCGCAGACACAGAAGTGCAGACGCTGGGGCCCGGGTGCTGCGCGGCCATCCTTGGGGTTGCTGGGGTCACCCAGGATGGTGAGTCTCGCTTGGAAGGAGACGCGGACTATGGGACAGAGCCACAGTCTCTGACAGCGAGAAAAAGGCTGGCAGAGGACAGCAACTAGGAGAGAGGCGACAGAGACGCAGCTGAGGGGTGCGAGCAAGGACACAGAGGCCCAGCCCCGCAGCACGTGGGACAGAGAAGTGGCCCTGGTGAGGTGCCAGGGCTCAGGGTACCGATGGAACTGGAATACAAGTCTGTAAGTGCAAGGACAACTCTCCGTCCAGCAGACTGTAGTGTATTCTGTAATATTATGACTCTTACCACTGCTGGCACCGCCTCTATCCCCATGGTCACTATGGTGCGTTTTCCTAAATAATTTATGCTTGACAAAGCACTTTGGCATAAACTTCTAGGAGTCAATATCTCCGCAGCACCTAGGTAAATTTCATAAAGGTCTAGAATAATGGGGATTGTAAAATTTAACATAAAAATATATAGATTACATAACCTTGGACCCCATGGTTAGAGATGGAGAATACAGAATCAAGTACTTCTACAAAATGAACAAGATGATCACTTGTGTTCATGGCATCAGTAATGTCTCTATCAGGAAAGTTGATTTCTTTTATAAAAGTTTTCCAAGTAATTCTCATTTAGCAAATAACTCTTCATTCTCTCTTATTTTTCCATTTGCACTATGACATCTTTCCTATATAACGATGCTAAAATCTTGGCCTCCTACCAAAGGTTGTCACCAGGCTGGGACAATCTCCCCAGTGATGTAGCAGCGCACCATGAAGCCCGATAGCTCCCCCAAATGGAAAGCTCTGCTCCCCTAAGTAGGCCCTGCTGTGCACATTTGGAAAAGTTCAATTCTACTGATGTTGGCTCTAACAAAGTTCCTTGTCCTCTTTTCCCCAGGCAGTGGGGTCTCAGGCCTGCTGTACATCAGAGGCAGCATGCATCGGGCACGTCCCTAACAATGCCATAGGAACACTTGCCTGGAGGAAGCGACCACAAGGAGAGACTGTCTTTTTTTTTTTTTTTTTTTTTTTTGTTTTTTTTTTCGTGTCCGGCAACAGATCACAACCCTCAGTGTCGCGCCCGTACCGGACCGGGACCGGCAACAGGATCGCAACCCTCGGTGTTGCGCCCACACCTCGCTCAGTCAGTGAGCGGGAACCGGTCTGTATGTGGGATCCGAACCCTAGGCGGGAGCGCCGCTGCACTCCCAAGCGGTGCACTGTAGCAGTGCACCACCAGGCTGGCCCAAGGAGAGACTGTCTTAAAAACAGATTTTAGCAAGTAGGACAACTACCTCTAAGAGGCAGTGCTGAATGATACAACGTGGAGGAGCCAAACTAAAAGATATTCTAATTCTGGAGACGCATGTCAGTACCAAGCGACACTGACCCTCAGCGAGACATCCCTTCTGAGACAGAACATCTTGCTAGATTCTGTTTCTCTTCTGAATTTCCCCACTGGCTTCAAAATCAACGTTTGGACCCTGACTCTAGAGGATGTGACGTGGGGAGTTCCTACATTTTTCAAACTAACCTCTTTCCCTTTTTATGGTTCCAAAAGAAATTTGGGTTGACCACAGAAATCTACAGCAATGTGATAATGAAGCCAAATAAAAATGGAAAAATTCTTCAATGTCTGGGTCCCATTTGGAGGTATGGATTTGATCTAAGCTAATTATCTTGAGGAATCCAGGAGATATTTTTTTTTTCACTAAATAATTCAACATATATTTTCTCATTCAGAATGGAAGATACCTACACAGAAGTTTTGTATCATAAGTAAATTCATTCTCATCCATAAAGAAAATTCTCTGGAGTCTTCGTGGGGACATAATAATGATCTCCAGAAACTTGATACCAAAATTGGTATCTAATAGAATTCTCAGTCAAAATGTAAAATGTTTCAGAAAGGGCTCATTTCTTTGAAATGCCTTGACAGTGCTTCTGGAAGGTAACAGCAGTTTAGGGCAGGTGACGGCAAACTTTTCTGTAAAAGGCCGATGGTAAATATTTCAGGCTTTGCTGACTACCTGGTTTCTGTTGCTGTCACTCATCTCTGCTGCCGTAGCATGGAAGCGCTATAGAAAACGTGTAAATTGCACTGGCATGGCTGGGTTCCAATAAAACTTTATTTATGGACATTGAAATTTGAATTTAATATAGTTTTCATGTGTCATGAATTATTGTGTTTAAAATTTATTTTTCAACCATTTAAAAATGTACACCCCTTTCTAGCTTGGAGGCATGACAAAAACAGACAGTAGTTTGTCAGCACCTGATTTAAAGGGTCTTCTTTCAGTCAGGAAATTGGGAGGGACGAAGGCAGAGAGGACACACAACTGTCCTTCATTCACCCTTCCCTGGTGCAAACACTCTCGACTGCTTCCAGGAGACGCCGGAGGCCCAAGTCTTACCTGGGGAGCTCTGAGGTGAGGAGCAGGGCGAGCAGCGGGGGGAGAAGCTGTACCCGGGATGGAAGGCGGCCTGCAGGGGCACGTAGGACATAATCTCTTCTTCAAAGAGACTGCAAAGTTGAAAGTAAAAGTTAGTTCTCTGTCCCTGAGAAAGTGCTCATGAGTTGGGGTGATAGCAGCTACAGTTCCCACAAAGCAACAAAAGCAATTAGATTCAGATGTAGTATAAAGAGGCATATCGCCTGCGAATTTTGTGCTTTTTAAAACCTGGATTAACCCTACAACAAAGTCTCCATTGAGTACTTTATGCAGCTCTTGATACCCTGGATGCAAATGTAAAGGAGGTGATGGACAGTGTACAAGGGTGGGGACCCTACTTCAGCTGCAGCCCCTAGAATCCTCCAGAACAAATGGCGAGTGTTCTGATCTGGGCCCCTCTCTGGGCAGCTGTAGTGGAGAACTGGCCAGTGAAGCTTTTCCAGAACTGTTCCAGGCTCAGCCCCTTACCTCAGCAAGATGACTAGATCTGCATCACAGGACAACTTTTCAAGCCCATGATTACCCTCAGTCCGAATGTAATGAATTTTCTCCCTAGAATCATGTGGGAAAGAAAATGCGAATTACACACCGACACATAAGCTAAGAAATAAATCTTACTCTGGTCCCTTTTTTCCTCTCTTCCGGTACAGCTGAACAGCAGCATCTCTCAGCATCCTAAGCTCACACTGCAGCTTCCAGGATGCCCTGCAGGGGACAGTGCTCCTGACCCACCAGTGCAGAGCTGAGGAGCACAGCAGAGCCAGGTCCTCTGCCCACACGGTCACAGGTGCAGCGGGGCGGGCAGGGCTGCAGCACGGCTGCTCTGGGCTCACGGTGTACTGGAAGCCCCGGGAGGAAAGAGCGAGCAGGGGGTCTCTTGAGAGACCTTGTGCCTGATGAAACTGCGTAACACCACCTGGGGCTCCAATCTCCAGAAGAGAGGAGGCTCCCGGCCAGTCAAAGCACAGGCATTGATCTGTCTCTGTTTTGTCACAACCCGCCCATTCTGACCCTTTCGTACAACCTCCAACTCTACCCTGGCAAATTATTAGTCTACAGATAAGGAGCATCTATTTTGATCAAATTAACCTTGTAATTTGTTTCCCTGACATTATTCCAATATTACAAATACCATACCCAATAATCATTCCATTGAATGCATGCTTCAAAGGAGTTAAAGGTTTTTGCCTTTCTTAAAAGAGATGCAGCAGAAATCTGGAAAAACTCAAAAATTAATTTTTAAAATAATGTTTAACTTTCTTTTTGTGTTTAAATTTTTATTTTCAGATAATTTTAGTGTCACATATTGTTGTAAGAAACGACACAGGGATCCTGTATTCCCTTCATTCAGTTTCCTTAATGGTAACATAGGGATTATGTTTAAAAAATTTATTTTCAAAGATGCTGCAGATACAACTTTTTCCTCTCTCTGTTTATATCATTGTGAGTGCAAATTGTATATTTTCAGACAAAAATATAATCAACTTGACCTTTTGGTGTGGGGATTTTTTAAAAAAGCCAGGGGAAACGTCATGGCCTCTGCAGATACACACAAAGTGGCTTTACAGATGCCTCACCAGGACCAGGGCGTTCGTGGGCTTCTCTTACGACTGCAGGCTGGGAAGTGGAGCAGGTCTGTCCCCAGCGTTCTGCAGGGAGCAGGTGCTAGCCCAGCCTCCCCACCTCCGGCTTCTCCCTCGGCCTGTGTCCTGGACTCCGTGTCCGGATACACCTCACAGTCCTCTTGGCTGGAAGACTCTCGGAGCTGTTCCTCTGGATTACCAGCAACAGCCGCATGAATAATGCTCTCATTTATTTACTCTCCCAATGATAATCTCCTTTGGGGCAGGTTATCCTGCTGCCCGAGGGCCCCACTTCTGGTAAGCGCCTGGCCTCCCTGCCTGGGGGAAAGGGGCAGCACATTCGAGGGATCCTCTTTATCTCCAGGGTCCTTGGGGGAAAAGAAGTTCAGAGAGGGCCAAGTCCACCAGGGCAGCAAGTGCTGTCCCCAGTCACAGAAAGCAGCGGTGGCATCATAGCACCGCCTATGTGGACTGCACCTGTGCTAGAACACCAAGCACAGTTTTCTGCATGTTTTAGGAGCTTTCCACCAGACATTACCCCTTTGTCATGTCTATGGACATCTCACACAGATCCAGTGGTGTGGGGGATCTCCAAATGCCTCTGCCTCTCCATCCCAAGGGCTCTGAGAACTGGGGAGGGCACCAACGACGAGAATTCCATCTGTCTCTCCTACACGTATGTCCCTTGGTCATCAGGGAAACTACAGAGCAAACTCTCTTTAGAGCTCAGGCCAGCAGAGCCACCGCCTCCTTGACATCTTGACATCTCCACTTGTGGCCTTAAAGACCTCAAAACTCAACATGCAAGACTAAATCCTTGACATCCTTCCGCCACTCGAGCCAGTCCGTCCTTGTCCTCCCCATCCTGGGGAGGACACCATCCTCCCCGCCTGCCGCCTGCTCCCGGCTGTCTTTCTCACCGCTCTCTCCTCACCCCAGTGGTCGGGCTGCCATCAGCGCCTGCTGTTCGTGCACCCGCAGTGTGACACGAGCTGCTCCCTGCTGTCCATCCGTGTTTACCACCAGCCACGTCTCCTGATAGCCCCGCTCCACCCGTGCCCCTGCTCCAGCCCACCTATTCCACACTGAGCAGCAAAAGAGGTCATTCAAAACACTGATGCAATCATGTTTCCTTCCTGCTCAAAACTCTCCCATCACTTCCCAAATAAAATTGCACTTCAGATAAAATCCCCGCTCCCTCCTGCTGCCGACAAGGCCTCCGTCTCCAACTTCACCATGGTCTCTCCCCCCACCCCCTTGAGCCGCACTGGCTTGTTTTCATTCTCCACCTACATCAAGCTCTTCTCGCCTCGGGACCTTGCACACTCTCTCCCTGACCACCACCTTGCATCTCAGGGACAACTCCTCATCCTTCAGGTTTTAGCTTAAGTGCCGCCCACTTGGACAAGCCTTCCCTGTACTCCGTTAGGGATGCAAGTCCTCCTCCTCTGCAACACCACATTACCCACTGTGACTGTATTCTGACCAAGTCTTTCATGGCACTCAACACATTATGTAGCTATACATGTGGCTTAACGAAACCCTCCAAACTTGTCTATCATCTGATCCATGAGCATGGAACTTACTGCATACATAGCCCTAGCACAACCCTGATTCAGAACAGCTGCACAAAAAAAGTACTGCTGAAAGAAAGAATGGATGACTGGGATGGCTACCAAGTCCCTTAAAGGTAACAGACGCCATTAACCTCTGGGTTATCTGGCTCCCTATTCACATCCACATGTGGCTTCCTTACGATTCACTGCCATCTGCTAAACACCATTCTCTGAGAACTCATTCTCTGTCCTCTAATGCAGCAACTGGTTTTGTGGACCCAAGTCAGAGAGTCCACAGCTCCCTGAGACCAGCAGTGGCTGAGCAGGGGTCACAGTCCCCTGAGACTGCAGAAGGAGCCATAAGTTCTTTCTCTCGGTGGAGTCCTGGGGAGAGGTGATTTTCTTTTTGACTCCCTGGCCTTTAAAATGGATCTCACCCCCCCACACACCCCACTCAGGGGCAGGAAGAGGCCCAGTCGCAGGGGGCAGTGCCTGGTTCCTGGTTCCCTTGAGCTTGGCCACCAGGACAGCAGGCTCTTGCTCTGCCTTGTTAGTGTGTGGCCTCATAGTCCATGTCCGATAGTCACTGTGGGCCTCCTGTTTTTGATCAGGTATTTTTGGGTTCTCAACCTGGGGTCCACAGTTTCTTTAGGGGCCAGTAACTGTTTGAAATTATATGCAAAGATTTATATATATATGTGGGGGAGAGTCTGTAACAGCTTTCATCAGATATTCAAAGGAGTCCATGACCCTAAAAAAGATTATAGTTTCTGGGCCGACCCCGTGGCTCACTCGGGAGAGTGCGGCGCTGGGAGCATAGCTGCGCTGGGAGCGCCGAGGCCGCGGGTTCGGATCCTATATAGGGATGGCTGGTGCACTCACTGGCTGAGCGCAGTGTGGGTGACACCAGGCCAAGGGTTGCGATCCCCTTACTGGTCACACACACACACACACACACACAAAAAAAAAAAGGTTATAGTTTCTATACTAGATAATCTTCAAGTTTCTTCCAATTCCAACATGCCCTGATTTCAAGCACCCCCTTCTCTAGAATATCATAATTGTACCACTCCACACTGCAACAAACCTTTAAGGTTTCTTAGATTTTGTTACAATGTGATATTAAACAAGAAGGCTGAAAACAGTTAACTTTCTTTTGGAAATACATTCCACTCTTTTCCACTCTATGCGTCTGTTAGGTCCAACTGGTCCATAATGTTGTTCAAATCCCCTGTTCAAATCCTTACTGATTATCTGTCTGGTTGCAGGGGGTTACTTTTTACACTTTTCTAATGATTAAAACAGGACTGTAGTGCCTTTGGTGAGTTCAAATTCCTCCAAAAAGTAAGCAGGGAACTCATTACTTAGTGGTAGAATTAGTAACAAAAAATGTTCAGGACAGCGATGTGTTAGAAACTCTTCAGGTAATACAAGTCCCCTGGAAGTCCCTTGAAAATTCTTCTAAATTGTTAGGTAGTGTGTCAAAGAGCAGCCCTTGAAGAAACAACCCACATGGCCGAGCACCATACAGTCATGAGCTTGGACAGATAATTCTGAGTAACTGAACATAAGACCTTTCACTCACCCTCTGAGTAATGAGTGTTTCCTATCTTCAAAGTAGAGGACCAGGCTCTGAGGGGCAGAGTGGGTTCAAAGACGAGGTGGATACAGGCCCTGCTCTGCAGAGCTTATAGTGTTGCAGGGAGACACGGTAAATAATAGAATACAAGAGATCCAAAAATATCTTAGAGGCACGAGAAGACTGCCATTAAAGCAAGAAAAAAGAAATACTAAAGTCTGCCTGGAGCATTGAATTTCTGCCTTTGATCTAAGCCTTTAAAATGGATGGGACGCCCTTAACACAGAGGCCACTGCAGGAAAGGCAAATCCAGGGAGTCACAGCCTGTTCAGTGGAGGTGGAAGATGCTGAAGGAGAAGACAGTGCAGGACAGAGAGTTCAGTTAGGGCCGGACTTTGGAGACCAAGACATCGTGCTTAGAAATCCTGACTCTGTTTCATACACAGTGGGAGCCACGGAAGCTCTGCTTTTGAGGAGGAGGGGGACATGGTTTGGTCTGTGCTGTAAGAAGGTAACTGGTTACAGTAGGGTGATGGGGGATGTCTTATGAGACATCCCTGTGAGGTCCAGGAGAGAAATAATGAGGACCCAAACGTGGCCACGTCGGGGAGAAGAGGAAATAAGGGCTGGGAGAGAGAATGTGAGGAGGTGAGTGCAGGCGTGTAGTGGAAGGAGGACGGAGGAGCTGGGATGAGGGGCCGTGGGGAGGAGGATGGTCCTAATGCACAGAGCACAAACAGGGAGGACAGGTGTCAGCGTGGGCAGGGGACAACAGTGAATGACCCCCAGCAGGATGGGCAAAGACTCGGTTGGCAGAGGCTGTTTGAAGGTGTCAGTGATTCGCTGAGGAAGTCCAAGTGGAGCACTGCAGCCACCAGCCAGACTCAAAGACTGCGCCAAACACGAGGGGCAGGTTGCCCGCCCGCCATGCTCGGCCTCCACACACATCCTCATTCAAGCATCTGCACCACACCCTCGGGCCCTCGGATGCCCTAGCTCAGTGCTGAGACCGAGGGCAGAGCACTGGATGAGATGTCTCTATCAGTAGCCCCTGAGTGCCAGAGAAAGAATCCAAACTCCTAGGGACATGCTCTAAACCACCACGCACTCTGGCTTTTGAAATGTTGGGCAGTGAACTGCAGGAGAGGGGAGTTAGAGTAGCTCGGTGAGAAAGCAGAATTTAAGTTCAGGAGATATTTTCTCTTTAGGTGGCTATCTTTTCCAAATGAAGTGATTCAGAGTCTGATGTACTTGTTCAAGAATGACCCTAGAGGACAATAGGATTTAGGTGGTTAGAACACCTATGACACCTTTTGTTTGCTTATTTGTTGAGTTTTAAATATGCTCACTCAACATTTGGTTTACCTTTAAACAATTACATTTCAAACTAAAAATAATTTATATGGTGCTTTACATAAATAATTTTTTTGTAAAAGCTATTTTACCCTTTACTGTGCTTTCCTCCAAATCGGTGAAAATCATTTCAGCATCATATAAATAATAGATAGCTTGACAATCTGACTATCTCTGATTATGCTATTTCCCAGAAAATTGAAACCACTGGACCCTTCTTTTTGAGGATTCAAGTTATACTTTATTTATTTATTTTTTGGGTATTTTTGGTGGCTGGCCGGCCCAGGGATGGAACCGTGGACCTTGATGTTATCAGCACCACGCTCTAACCAATTGAGTTAACTAGACAGACCTCACATTGTAATTTAATTGCATGAACAAAATGCATTATGAGCTTCTGTTGTCCCTCCACAGAGGTGTTTTCCTACCTGAGAAAATATCTGGAAAGACCTGGATTTCCAGGCATGAGGGATGATCCCTACCTGAGTGCATGGTTTCTTGCCAAACTTGGTTGACGCTCTTGCAGCATTTCAAAAATGTTTGGCTGGCGAAGAAATGCCACAATCTTGTCATTATATGCTGAAATAGACAAAGGCACAGAGTTGTGGTTGAATCTGCAGCCCAGAGATAATTTCTTTGATGATTGGAAAATGGCCACTTGATACCAGGATTAATGCAAGAGTTTGAAGGGCAGGTCGCATATTCATCAAAAAAAAATTTGTTAAGCTCTTGAGGGCTTTTTCTTATGTGACATAATAGCACTATTATTTTTAAAAGATAAAACTAAAAATGAACCAGCTCTAAGTTAATCATCCTTAATATACATGTTTCAGGAACTTTGCTGGGTGTTAACTCATCTCTGTGTGAACAGGCGAAAGAGAGTAAAATAGCTCTCCCAGGAGAGGAATTCTGTCTTCCTTGTAACTTTTCCTGGTCATTTTTCCATAGTTATTATGGAAAAAGGTTATGAGTTCCAAGAAATTCTCTTCTGAGCACTCAACACCTCAGTCTGATGGCCATGAGTTGATTTACCAGTGGTAATAATGGAAATACCCAAATCCACTGATGCTTTCTCACCTCATCCCTTCGTAAAAGTGGCATGTGTTCCGGAAGAGGCAGCTAAGGTTAGGAA